CCTTATTAGGAAAAGGTTACCCTTATGATTAAGGGGTTGCTGGCCAAACTAGATTAAGTTTTGATGTGACTCTGCACAAGGGATCCCTGTGTGTGAGGGGATGACGTCACAAAACAGGGCCAAAGATTCTACGTTTCTAGGGGTCACAATTACACAAGGGGGAATCGACATTACTAGTGTTCACAACTAGGGACATGTTCTCAGACGCCTTTATGCATCCCACAAGGCTGCACGAAACCCTACAGAACCATACCTCAAATCCTTATACGCATCTCAGGCCAACCCTACGACCTTCTTGGAGAACCTAATTCCTAAACCCCACAGCCTAAGAACTCTAAACCCTACATATCCCTATATGATTCTATACTACCCTATACCCCCCCTTTTTTGGCACCCTGAATTTTCTCAGGTGACCTTGGCGCCGGGCATTCAGAACCTGAGTCTGCCAGCGGTGCGCAGCGCGGGAGACCTTCGAGCCGTGTCTCCCAAGGATGCTGGGCCCACTTGCTTGGAGCTTTATAGAGGGTTTAGAGGGGTTTAGGGAGTAGGCGTTTAGGGTTAAGGCAGTTTAGGGTTTAGGGCTTTGGGTTTCGGGTTTCCTCCAAGGGATCCAGAACATCGAGCCCAGCCAAGAAACGAGACCATTACTACATCGGGACAACAGGGGATCCTGGTGCTGGGCTTTAATCCCTGGACGGGGTTTTAAGTACCCAACATAGGGCAATTTCCATCTATCATTTCAGATATCTTATCAGCTATAGCTACCCACGAACCTCAATCTACGAAGTGGTAAACATCCTTCTAGCGTCTGGAGAGAGTGGTGTAGAGTTTATGGCAAATTTCTTGAGCAGGATCGCATTCATTTTTTTGGGTTCCGCCGGCGCTACGGTCTACATTTGCATTCCTTCCAGCTTCGAGGATATCAGCCCCGGACTAAAATTCTTACTTGGCCTTACAGACATCCCCTATATCAGTGCCTGATTAAGATCTCATCTGAAACTTTGGAGCTAAATTGTGCGTGCACTGCTGAGTAGTATCTTCGTTTTCGGTTTCGGGGGCATGATAGGAAGCCCCATCTGGAGCCGTAGCAAAGAAGCGTGTGAAAGCCTGTATCCAGAGATCCTAGGGATTCGCTTTGGCAGCTTTGATGTAGGAAGTGTTTGCTCTTTTACAGTCTGTTCAGAGTGTCATTCCATAGAGATTCGGATCTTCATCAAGAGTTACCTACCAGAATAACCTCAGTCATGTACCTAGACCCTCCTCCTACCCTCTATTTGGGCCTAAGTACCCACTATTAGGGACCATATATCCCCAACTAAGGGTACAAGGAGGGTCCTGGTAGTTTCCATCCTGTTGAGGACAGCCGCCTGGAGTTCCGAGACATTGCGACTTCAACTTATGGAGCTGCGCTGTCTTCAGAGCGCAACATCCTGCTGGAGGGTGAGGGTAGCATCACTTTCGAGAATCTGCAAAGCTGCTCGGTTAGGCCTTTAGGGTTGCACAGAATACGTCCTTTGTGTATGTGAAAGCATGAGAAAGTTCAGCTTGAACAGAAATGATTTCAGAACACACGTTTATCTAGAACGAAAAAACAGGGTGAACTATCCCTTCTGTGGACGCATCTGACAAGATTCAGAGGATCTTCCATGATATTCTTGTCCTAGCAACGAGACAGGTTCCCTGGGACCGGCAGCAAGCAGCCAGTACTTCGACGTCAATAGCACTGTGGCCAACCTGGAGATCCGAAACTGCTCCGGGAAGTCCGGGCCAGGTGCAATTTTTGCAGGAGGTCAGGTTCATCTGGAGAGCCATGGCACAGTTCTCTTCAAGGCTGGGAACATGCATAGGTACCATCCTGCCTGTTTCCAGATTCAGCAAACCACCAAAGAACAGTAACAATGATGTCTCGCGATTTGGTCCCATCAGTGAAGCAGCGAGCCCAACTTTGGAACTAAACGTCTTGCTTGCAAGGGATGCACCTGCGTCAGCCGTGGTGCTGCCATTGCAACCGTCGGAAAACTGAAGCTGACAGGAAGAGCTGAGCACCTTGGCCCTCTTTACAGTTATGGGCACTTCAGGGGTGTTGTGGGGTTTCAACTGGGCATCGTGGGGTCTTAGCCGAGGCTACTGTAAATTTTCTTGTAAGGGGCTGCCGTGTTGGACGTGGCCTGTTATCCGTTGATGAGTGCCACGTCTGAGGCTTCTGCCGTTAGAGTCATTAGAGCGACGTCTATGGTGACTGTTCCTAGAGTTCTCGGCGTTATCGGCATCGTTCCCATCAGTCTTACCGTTGTAGTGTCGGAGCACGTTGTGCTATCATCTTGCAGGTATGTTTTCGAAGACTGCCGCAGCACCAGCATCGACGTTGGGGCAAGCGGCGGGGCACTTTCCAGCGTTGAAGATGTAGTGATAGAGCTTCATGCGACAGGGTCAGTCTACTTCAAAGACTGTGTGGCAGAAGACTCTGGTGGAGCAATTTACAGCGGGCGCAATATCGAAATCAGCGCCCGCTCCGGCAGCGTTCAGTTTGAGCGCTGTCATGCCGGGAGTGGGAACGGGCATGCAATGATTGCACACAGTGGCGATCTGCATATCAGTGCCCTAACCAGGGTGGTTCTGGCTGGCATGGACAGCAATGTCGGTTCAGCTGTATTTGTGCGGAGTGCCACCTTACCTGTGGGAAGCGGCATCCTTCCCGCCGACGTGTTTGCTTTGGAAAGCCTGTTGGCATCAAAGACCTTGAGCCAGGGCGATGATGAATGTCCGGTCGGCTCTCGGTTCAGCTGGGATGCGAGCGGTGCCCCCATCCCAGGCAGATGCCCTATGTGCGGATCAGGTACTGCATCGCTTGTCACTTCAAGCGTAGTCATTGACAGGAAGATAGCCGCTCCTGAAGTTGGGATGCGGACTCCTTCTCTGTAGAGGAAAGAGTTCTGACATATGAATAATATTTCTTGCCTGCGTAGGCCCAATTCCAACCAGTTTAGTTTCTTCCTTCGCGATACCATCTCGATTTTGGTTCGTTTCGGTATGCCTCTACCCCGAAGCTCAGCCCTGCGTTGGATGATGTTGGGTGCTAAGTGCCCGAAGACCTTGAAGCCGGTCGTCCGACCCCTCAATTTCCATGCCTAACAGCCCAGGGTTGTTCTTGTTCGCCGGAACTCTCCAAACAACATCTTCCGACTCTCGTGGCTAACAGCAAGCCCATCGGAGAGTCAGGAGGCAGATTCCTGAAAAGGGAATTTGGTGTTGGTTCACGCTTTAGGGTTTACGCGGGGGCTTGCTGCCAACTAGAGGGGATAGCTTCTCTTGTTCTAATGCGAATGATTACTCTGAGATCTATTGACGGCAAGCGCAGGATGGTTGCAACGATCCCGAACTCTGCCTGGCACTTGAACGCGGAGCCTGGGTGATTGTTGGTACATTAGTGGAGTTTTGTGAAGTGTTCATTTGCTTGAGGTTGTTCTTAGTAGGGGTACATAGTGTGTGTAGTGTTCGCTCACTTACAACGCATTTTTGGAGTTCTGCGTTCGATGATGCTTCAATTCTGTTCGATTTCGTGCTGCCATACTGAATACATCCTCCACAATAATAAAGATGGGATCAACAACGCGTAGGTGATGATTATTCCCAACAGCGTCATCTTGGTTGCCATCAGACCTGCCCATGCCTATGTATTAGTGTATACATACACCTACGGTACATGCTACGTCTCCAGCAGCAGCACAATGGACGCCGATGCTGAATGGCTGGCTGCCGTCACCGGCCACCACCGCCGCCGCCACCACCACCATCACCACCATCGCAGCAGCACCAGCAGCAGCCACGGTGGCAGCAGCAGCAGCATCATCAGCAGCAACAACTGCAACTTCTCCACGCCGTCTTCTGCTGCGGCTCTCCTCTCTGGCTCCTGCTCCCTGCTTCTCCTCCGCACTTCCTCCACGTCCTCATACTACTTGTGCTGCTGGTCCGTTTAATAGTACTGGTCTAAAGATCGAGGCCCTGCCCATACCTTCATGAACCGGAGATTGTTTTCAAATATCGTGACGTTACATCGTTGTCCTCAGAGCCTCAGAGTTTTTGTGGGGGCGTGGTGGCAGACAGATGCGAACCCATGCGAACCCAGTTGTGCGCAGGCACATGCCTGCGTCATAACATGTACATTCATGCATATTAGCATGGTTCAGCATGCGCACGCAGTCTTTGCAGATCCTTCTCGAAGTTCATGATTCATACGGGTCATGTATGTTCATGCGATGTAGTAGCATTTTCTCACCTCCATATTCCTGCACCAGACATCCCACACGCTCTGAGCTGGTGCAATACATCGACATAGGGAATGCGAATAAAGATTCACACCGTGGGCTTCACACACCTCGATTGTCCAGCCGCACAGGCGGAACACGTGCTTGGGAGCAACAGGTTCTGAAGTGCACATTACGCCTGTCTGCACTGCGACGTAAACTTACTCTCCAGTGGTTAGGGCCATGCATTAATGCTGGCAGCAGTAGGCATGATTTCCAGAGCTCCGAACTTCAGGAAAGTGGGACCGCGTTTGGGACGTCTTCCCCATGATCTTGGGGCAGCACCGACGTCTATCCTTTGTATTCGACAAAGGGATGCTCAGGACGAGGGCTAGGTGCAAACGTGTCTGAGACAGAACTTCCTCAGCAGACACCTTCAACCTTTCAGCTCTTCTGCACAGTGGTCACGGTCATAGTGGCAGCGAAAGCGTCAGGAAGCAAGCGAGTTCAGGCCAAACCCCATAGTTGAGATTCTGGCAACAACGCTTGAGAAACTGGTCTCATGGGGAGTGTAGCGGGCTTTGCCCTTTGGGTCCCTACATGAGCTATAGTCCGAACTCCTCCAAGGGAGTTATTTGGAGGGATGTTATAGGAGAGTACTATAGGGGTTGAGACTATAGCTCATATGTAGGTGATCCATTTTTTAGCGGAAGGACCTCCGACGGCTGGCTTTTGGTGGTACCTTACAATTCTTACATGCCAGAGATTTGAAAGCCAACAGCAGAATTTCCCTTGTTTCGCAGTATCAGAATTGCACCCGTGTGGTTTTCGACTAGTTTTCCTGTTGCTTGCTGGAGAAGTAAGGATACGCCGCTTGCCCTCATCCACTCAACGGAAACTGTTTCCTGGAGCAAATCGAATGAGACGGGGATGTTCGTTGAGGACCAGAGTGGCAGCATCAGCCCTGTCAAGGCACCCGGCCTCGTTTTTGGCGTGGATCATGATGTGACCTACACATTTCAGCCGCACAATCCATACTTGGCTTGCCTTCCTTGCCAAGACATGGCCCGGGTGAACGCCGACAAAATCCAGTGTGAGGGTGGCACCTCAGTAAGATCCCTCCCAGGTTACATGGTCCTCCATGCAGCAGGATGGATGTGTTCCAATTTTCTCTGGGCATTCAGAATTCTTCGAGTGTACAAACCCCGTTGCATTTTGTAGTAAACACCGCATGGGATGGAACTGAGTTCCTTTGATGGCTCAGACACCCACCAAAACAGGAGCGCCAGAGCTGAATGTACACCAGTGTCCCAACCGAGCCGCGTGCCCCGGCAGTAATTTCAGCCTTACGGCAGACGGCTTGTTGAGCCCTCGCACCCGGCTGTGCGCGGAAGGCTATCGCCCCAGCCCAGGCTGTGTGCGCTGCGCACCGAAGTGCCTGGGTCACACTGGGAAACCCTTTTTGTTGCAGGAAGCTTTATGAGGTGTGCAGCTGAAGCAAATCAAACAATAATCAACACATGTGCACATTTTGATTAGGGTTCGCTAAGCAGGCGATGTTACGAAGGGATTAGGGCTCAGAATCGTACTCGTGGCATCGCATGGGCAGACTTCTTTGAAGGCATGGCCGTCCTCAGCTGGACCCTTTCACCTGCCGTCCTTGCGGGAGCTTCTCCCTGGCGCAGCAAGTAGGCAGGTACAACCGGTTTAGGGTGTAGGGTTTAGGGTATTTTGAAAGGCCTGCAGCCTCTCCCGAAATTGTACGCGATGTTGCTGTTGGTTAGATAGTTTTACAGGATGTGCCATGGGGTACGGTATGTTTGTTCTCCTGCTTGTTGTGGTTCAGTTTTACTACTTCTTGTTTTTTGGGTGTAACTGGTTTTTGGGAGAGACAGAAAGAAGAAAGAACAATAAGACTAGAAAGAGCGAAAGCAGCAGAGAAAGAGCATAAAGGAGAAAGAAAGGAAGATAGGAGTAAGGAGCGCAGCTTAGGCACCTCGCATAGACATGGGTCACCGAAGGCCGCCTAGCCTCCTTTATGGCGCAGGCAGATCAAGCAAATCATGTTTGACCACCTCGCGTAGACGCGGCCACAAACACCTATGTGGCGCAGCCGTCATCCAATCGTTCTGTTTGCAAATGGAGGTAACCGCCTATCGTCCCATCATCGTCCCATCACAATGTTGGCAAAAGCTTGCTTGTAACAGCGTTTTTCAAAGGGCTTGCCCCAGCAGCAGGTAATCCAATCGTTGCATTTGCAAATCGGAACTAGGCTCAAACATTCTGGGAAGCCATGTAAGAGCACCTCAACAGAGTATCGTCCCAGCATCGTCTCATAGCCATATTAGCAAGAGTTTGCTAGTACGTGTGCTTTTCACGAGGCACGCCCGAGCAGCACATCATCCAGTCCTTGCGCTTGCACATGGGGATGCTGTGTTCCCCCGAAACCCCCAAAAGCCTAAAACCCTACAACCCTTTTCATGCAAGCCGCGTAAGAACACCTGATGCCCACCTACCTGACCTTACCTTGACGGCGCAGACGGACCCATGCAGTATATTTGGCCCCCTCCCAGACGACACGACGGAGCTTAGTAGGGCTTACCTGGACTCTCCTATGTAGTGCCTTTTGGGGTTTGGTATGGTTTTTTGGTTAGGACTCTTCTTAGGACTACCAAATGGTATTACATTCGAGAGTCTAGGTAGTCAGGGGTTGAGGGATCTAGGGTTCAGGGAGGGTAGCGGAAGAGGCACCGAGAGTAAACCCCAGCTGCAAAGAGAATAGCACGGAAAGCTCCGGGTAACGGTTAACCGTCGGTTGGAATTTTGGCTTTTAGACTTTGCATCTAGGATTTTGGAGTTTTGGATCTTCGGTTGGGCCAGAAGAGCCTCCAAACAGCAAAATCCAAAAAAGAGGAAAAGCACGAAGATTGGGAAAACAATCTGGATCTTGTTTCAAGTGTTTTCGTTTTGGGGGAGTCCTGGGCAGGCTGGACAGTCCTCTCAAGCAGTGCATTCTATACCGTGGCGCTGCTGTCTGCGAAGCCGTGTACAGACACACAACAGATCTTCAAGGTGTTCCTGGCATTTGTGACCATTTCCTGCCGGAGTCTCGCAGCATTTCTCAATACGCAACAGTACCAGCGCCTCAAAGAGGATTTGTATGTGTCTGCTAACGCAATTTACCGGGTCCTTTTTGCCGTGGATTTGGTCACGACAATTGAGCCAGGGTCCAGTATGGATTCGTATGACTGCTGGGGGCTGGTGGAGGGCCCCGTAGACGTGCTTTGGAGTTTGTTTCTGGCCTGGGCGATTCCTTTTGTATTGCTGGTGGTGTCTTGGTGTTGGTCTGGGGTCCAGGGTGGGCTGAAGGCGCTGGTGGTCTGGGGCAACTTGTTTGTGCCTGTATTCGCAGGAGCAGCGACTAAACTGATTGCTTGCTTCTCCACGCAAGAGGGGCAGGGTCGGGTGCTCATGTACGATGCCGCACTCGGCACGCCCTGCGCTTCATCCATGGCCGAGCTGGCACGTCTGTCCCGCTTCTGGCTGGCTCTTGGGACAGGAGTTATATTGTTTCTGCTGGGGCCCGTGCTATGGCTTTGGCTGGCAGCACGAGACCCTGAGAAAGACGAGACGGTCGCGTTCCTTGTGGTGGGTTACAGACCAACGCTTCGTTGGTGGGAGGTTATAGTCCTTGTCAGGAAAACTGCCATCTTCGTCGTGGCGGCTATGTTCCCCATGTCATGGGCTCCTGGAGCACATGTAATATATTTGTTAGGCATCACGATCGTTGCCCAGCTCCTGCATGTCACCATCCAACCCTACGCCAATGATTTCCTCAACCGACTGGAGGCACAGACTCTGGGGATTTCCTCAGCGTGCCTGGTCTTGGTCATCTCCTTGCTGGTGGAGTGGCCATTCAGGCTGGTGGGTTCTGCTTGAGCATCTTTTGCCATGCCAGACAGAGAACCGTGCCCCTTAAACGCGATCCTTGCTCAGCGCGTTGTGCAAGAGCCCTGAGTTCCGCAAAGCCACCAAGTTAGGCCTCAGCGAATCTGAAATCTACACCCCCAAACGACCTTCGAGCTAGGCCGTATGCAATCTACGTTGCTAGCAGTGCGCTCCTCGCTGTGCTCACGGCTGGGGCCTACATCTACTTCCTGCTGGTGTATCTTCGTGCGGTGCTCACGAAGCAGCCGTTGGCCGACGAAGTCAAGCAAGCTGAGGAGGAGCATGGCTACGGGGAAGCTTAGCCGACCCACAAGAATGTGCGATTTTCTGCATGTGCTATGTTATCAAAATTCTTTTTAGAGCCTACTGTCTGTAGTGATGCTGGTGCTTTCTGGTAGGTGGTCCCACATGTTTGATGCTTCTTTGCTTGCCACAGCCGAGACCGCAACCGCTTGCGAGAGGGGCTGAGACAATGCTGAATCTGGTGTCTGGTGCTCCTGATCTCTGACGCATTCGAGACTGACCCTCTTGGCCCGGAAAGAAGACGGGCGCAGAACTTATGGCCCTTGAAGCTTAAAAGGTCTAGAAGATGCGACTCAACACTTTTGGCTGATGATGTGCTGAGACTGCTTCGACCTTAGCGGAAGACGCTGCAATCCTAGACCTCAAAGTGCCTCAAAGCCAAACACCAATAATGCTCCTGAAGTAATAAAGATAGTCTGAAATCTGCATGTCCCATGATGAGTCCTGCAGTCGGAACCTTTGTTTATCCCTTTTGTTTCGCCGCTAATGAGCTTAGACTACAGCTCAGATGGAGAATGGATACATCATGGGTTCCCTCACCAGTCGGTTGGATGAAATGCCCCAAGAGAAACCACATTTCCAGTCTATTTCAGAATTGGGAAATTCAAAGTCCCTCTTGTGGGGCCCCCTAGAATGAGGATTATCATGTCTTGGGATACCTCCTAATTATTGGAAGCCACGTGGCTCTGGTAAACTCGATCTAGCACACTGTAGTAGCCACTTAGCAAAACGGTTACGGGTGTTGGGTTTAGGGTCTGAGGTTTAGCGCAGGCGACGATAAAGGCTTAACACTGGAGGCCTACTATAGTAGTACTTGCTTCTAATGTCATGTATTGCCCTTACTGAATACTATATATGTTGGGTACTCACTATAATATCTATTGCTAAACCCTAAACCAAAGAACCCTACTGTAGTCACTAAACCCCAAACCCTAGATGTCAAGCAAAGAGCATGATTCTCGCAGCAACAGCAACGGCTGCAGCCATAGCCGTAGCAGGTAGCAGTGCCAGTGATGGCTACTACCAGTAGCAGTAGCAGTAGCAGTAGCAGTAGCAGCAATGCGAGAGGTCAGTAAATCCTCCTCCTGCTTCTTCTACGGTTCCCACTCTTACCCACATGTCTACAGCTACGAGTACGTAATTAAAATATTCGCTCCGAAGCCATGAAAAGAGCTAAAAGATATTTTTTTCTACATGCTTTAGTGGTTCCCTCAGGACGTTACGTACACTTTGCAGTAGTTTCAAGCAGCAGCAGCAGCAAAACAGGTGCCACTTGGAGACCCTAGTATTAAATGAGGATAGAGCTTCAGAAGGATGACACGACACATGGGGTCACAATGAAGGAGTCTGCGAGGATAGTTTGGAGAACAAGTAAGCTTCCCAGCCAAAGCATCCTGCAACACTTGGGAGTTGTCCTGTGGAACCCCATACTCCTCTAAACCCTAAGCCGTAAACCCTAAATCGCCTAAATCCTAAAACCTAAGCTCTAGACCCTAAATCCTAAACCCGAAACCTTAAACCCTAAACCCCGCATTCGTAATCCCCACATATCCTCGGGGCCCGTTGACTACCCGTATTTCAGAGCCCCTTGCTTGGAATGGTGCAATGCGCCTGTCTGGCCGTACTTGTGGCGTTTCCTGGCCCTCAACAGTGTGCCACTTCCACTGGGTGAAGGTAGAACCTACATAATTTCTAGTTCTTAATCTCAATGAGTTGTAGAGTATTCATTGTAATTTACCTAGTGACATTCGCCCCCATAGTATCTTGACTAAGTCCGTGCATTCATACGCGGCTCCATAGCACATGCATTGACTCAGGGTTTTACAGAGTTGAAGCTTTCTTCGGAGTGGCAATATGATGACAGAAAAGTGTTTGTAGTCTGTAGGTTTATATTTGGGGGACGATGTTTGATATTAGGGGGAGGCGATTAAACCCCAAACTTGAAACCCTAAACCCCAAGCCCTAAACCCAGAGCGCCACACCTCAAACCCTAGATTCTCAACTCTAAGCCCTACACTCCAAATCCTAAACCCTAAATTCGGGATTCCATACGGATTTATGGGGTAGTGCATAGGCATGATTTAGGGATCTGTAAAAAATAGATAGATCGATAGGTATACATAAGGCTTGTATGGGGAGTTTAAAAGGATGTTACAGGGATTCTCATCCCATCATAAGCGACATCTCCACATCTCATATACTTTGAGAAATGGGTTCGTTGGGTCCTACCCTGATCCATTAACAGTCAACAATAGGGGTCACATTGCGAAGGGTTTCGGGTTTCGGGTTTCGGGTTTAGGGTAAGGGCTCTATATACATTAGTTATACGTATTATTCCAACTGTGAATGAGTGGGAGCCGTACGCAATGGCCTCAAGGGCTCCTGGGACCCTGGCCACAATGAGCATACAAATGCACTCCATACACGTAGCCAATTCCCATGCGCATCTTAAACCCTTGCCTGGACCCTCAAAGTATGTAGCATAATGGCCTTTTGGGCTGTTTTTAAGGGTCTTGGGCCATTATTTCACCTACTTTTTGGGGTCCAGGTAGTCTCTAAACCTGCAGGAATCTTCAGAACCCCCCAGCTCATCGGTTGTTAGAAGGGAATGACAGAAACCCTGGAGGGTTTAGGGTTTAGGGTTTAGGATTTTGGTGTTCGATACGAGCTGCTATAAGGATCAATTTCTCTACTGCCTACCTTCGGCCCTAAGCCTTAAACCTTGAACCTTAAATGAGCCATCACTTAAATTCCTAAAAGGGGTTATAGTATCTAAGGGATTGTATAGGAGACTACTATATGGGGTTATTAAGGGGGATAGTAGGAGTTTGGCTCCGGGTGCGCCAAGTGCCCCATAATTCGCCGGGCACATACCCATAATTCCGTCTGGAAGTTGGTCCACGGCGCATATTTGGCCGTGGGTTTTCAAGCACTTTCGCTCTTCCGTCTGCGTACGCCGCAAGATCGTGTTCTGCGAGAGCATACGCTGATTAGAGCATCCATGCCCAAACCATAATTCCGTTCGTGCTCCAAGAGCATACGCTGACCAGAGCATCCATGCCCAAACCATAATTCCGTTCGTGTTCCAAGAGCATACGGTGACCAGACTATCCATGCCCAAACCATAATGGTTCCTCAGGCCTGCCGCAACATGTCTTTTTGCCTCCCCTGTACAGGGATGCACGATTTGAGCTATAGGCTATAGTCCAAACTCGTGCGGGGTTCGCCAAGTGCCCAGAATCAGGGTCTTCGCATGGGTTCGGAGTGAGGCTTTGGCCATATTCTAAACAGATCCTCTTATACCCAAGCAAGTAATGTCTATCCCCAACTGCCATCAAACACGAGAGCTCGCTAAGGTTTTTGAGGTTCCGAAAGAAGACACTTTTTTTGGGGGGGGAAAATCTTCGTCACGACATTCCAGCTCCAAAGCCCTGCAAGAAGCCCAAATACTGCGTCTGCTATGCAAATTCAGCTTCTCTCCACGTATCATCCTCAATTTGGCTGGCAGGTGCAGTATTTTCTGACCCTCTACTCAGACCAGTCTCTTAACTCTTTTCGGCATGAGTCAGAATTCTTGTACGGAAATGAGGGTTTTCCTATTGCAAAAACCACGATTTGCCTTATTGACACGCATCAGTCACCGTGCGCGTCGGGGCCCGGAGTCCGGCCAAGATGTTAAAGTGGCCGCTTAAAAAATCCAGATGGTTTTCGCGAAAAAATTCCTCATCACAGGACCGCAAACGCATGCTTTAAGAGGCCGAAATGTTGCGCCTGCCAATGATTTTAACCCTCGGCCGATATGATAAACCCATGCCAAGACCCTGATTCCGACTTGGCGAACCCAGCGCGAGTTTAGACTATGGCTTAAATAGTAGCTGCCATCTCTTCTCCATTCTACTAACCGCCAATAAGTCATATGAGCTACTGGCAGTATCAGGTTTTACCATGGGGCCATTAGGCATGGACATAGAGTATAGTCCCCAGTGTATTTCCTAATAAGGCCCCATGTCCCTTCATTATGTTATGTGGGAAATACTAACCGTACTAACCCCGATGATGCCATCTACAATCCCAGTGTTCATGTCATATCCGGTGTCTTTGCCATGTGGTTCTTCATTCTTGGGGGGTAATATTCTGATTTAACCTTTACATATCCCTGTACGACCCCCCTTGCATGTTGTCATATGACCCTACATAAGCGTATACCCCCGACTAACCCCTACATATCCTAAACCCAATAGCCCCCATTAGTCTCTACCTATCCTAAACCCTATAACACCCATTAGTCTCTACATATCCTAAACCCTATAACCCTTATTGATCGCTACACATCCTAAACCTATAACCCCTGGTAAGCCCTACATTTCCTACATCTTAAGCTCTTCACCCTAAACCGTGCAACCCTTTAAGTCAGTCATCCCAATTCTAGACTCTGAACCCATAAGCCCTAAAGCCCAAACCCGAAGCCCTAAACCCCTGAACCCTACACCCTAAACCCCTCGCCCCTAATCCCCTAATCCCCTAAAACCTTAAAACGCAAAACCCCAAAACCCTTACGCCCCTTAAACCCTAAACCCCTAAGCCCCTAAAACCCTAAACCCCTAAGCACTAAAATCCTAAAACCCAGAACCCTAAACCCTATATAACCCCAATGTACTACAGTAGTTTCCATTTTCTTTTCCATTATCCCAATATGAACCCAATATACGCCTTCACCCTTAGGCGTAACCCTAAACCCTATAAACCTATAAACCCTGAAACCCTAAACCTTAAACCCTAAACCCCTAAAACCCTTAAACCCCTAAAACCCTTAAACCCTTAAACCCTAAACCCTATACCCCTTAACCCTTAGGGTGAAACAAAGGTTGCTGGCTGGGATTCACCCCGCCTTGCATGCCCTCCTGGCCAAGAGGCTTTTTAGGGTTTTGGTGGTTTGGGGGTTTTGGGACTTAGGGGTTTGGGGGTTTTTAGGGTTTAGGGCTTAGGAGTT